CGGTCAAAAATGGGAGCCGAAGAAAAAACCAATAGTGTTTCTGAGAGAGCAGAAGACGGGCTATCTCCCCATGCATTTATCTCGATTTCGAAATTTTTGACGAAAACTGACTTTTTTGAGGGGGAGGAGGGCCTTAAACTGCACTTTTAAATTAAAGTTTACTAAATTTTAAAATTTTAACAACCGTATTTTTCAATTTCAAAATCGAGTTTAATGAATTTTGAAGAATCCTTTGTTCATATTCTAGTGAATCTGATTCTGAACAAGGTTCGTACCCGCATTTTTCCTTGAAAATGCTTCCTTCGTGCGAAATTCGGTTCCAGGTGTTTTTAAAAATACTTCTGGCTCCAAAATGCCATCGGGCAGCTCAAAGCGGGATAACTCATTCAAAGCTTGACCGAAGTTTTTGTAGTTACATCTTGGTGTCCTCTATCGATTGACATCAAAACCGAGGTTATATACAGAAATCTGAAAATTTTATTAAACTTTTAAAAATGGAGTAAAAAACCGAGGCTAAACTTAGAAAATTATTTTCTCAAAAACTACAGGTCCGGTACCCGAAAAAAGCATTGAAATATATACTTTATTAACAAAACTGATTATGTTCAATGTGTAATAATAATAAAAACTGTGGAGCGCACTGGACACTTCGAAGTATATGTTCTGAAGTTTTTTTAATTTGGATTAGCATCTCACTATTTAGATTTTTAGCATGGCAAGCTCCAACTTTTTCACTCGAAAGGTGCACCACGGTAAACCTGTTCGGAACACCTAATTCCTGCATAGATCGATGTCCTCCAGTGTCTACTTTAAGAAACTGAAAAGCGCAGGTCTCTTTCTCTTCGTTTTGAAGTTATTCAAAAATAGCCGCGTACACTATATTTTGAAATGGATAATAGTATATCTTATCCTATCTCTAATTTGTGGTTTGAATACCACTTGGGCATTTCATAATTCAACTCGTGTAACAGGCCACTAGCCCCACTAGCCCATCACATAAACTACCACTGTTTGTAATTGGTTGATTTCTTTAATGAACGCTAGTGCCACTGACCGAAATACAAGTGCGAGGATTAATTAATTAGTAGTGCGAAGCTTTTGATGACTCTTCGCAACAGTTTTCATCTGTTTTTAAGAAAATAGTTCTGTAAAGGTAATCAATGAAGATCATGAAGAACTTTCATCCCCAATCACTTTTCTATTACACCAGTTACAACTAAACATCTTCCTTCTAAAATATTGCTACTTGTGATGACCTATGCAATTATGCTGATATCATTGAAACTAATGTGTTACTTTTTGTATCGAATTACGAACAGACATGGTTTACAAGAATATTAAGCAATGCTGTTCGATTTGCTCTGATTTCATTGTCTCCAAAATTTTCTGAATTTATATAGTCAATGTATAAGAAGATGCTAACAGGATCGACAGATAAAATATTTTCCACCTTTAAACTCACAGAAACATTTTCAGCACATCAGAATGTATCACTTCTGGCACTTTCAGGATTTTATAAAACTGCGTAAACCAGTACTTTACTAACACCATTTTTGCGTATTTAAGTCAAACACGATAAACTTAATTTTTGTTTTGAAATCAGTGGTGCTTTATCTAAAGTTTGAACGAAAAAAAATAGAAATGTATAGGTTCTACTGAATTTGGAAACAAAACATCGAAAACATGAGAAGGACGTCAGGACTAAAGAGAATGTCGCGACTATTTCCCTTGGGTAGAGAAAGCAAAACGCGATCGAGGCTGTGAAGTTCCTGTTGCGCTCATCTTAAGCTAAATGAACCGATCCAGTTCTCTTAAGAATATGATTCACAAATTCATTAAGAGTTTCATCTCAATATCTGCAAGAATATTGAAGAAAACATAGATTTTTCTGCACCTTTTAGATGGATGCAAAGCATACATCATCGAACAAGCTCGGTCTCTTGTCAATGGATGATTTCTTGCGTGTCCATACCACTGTAATACGTACGGTTTCGCAGGAAAAAAGTCCGTTGAATGTTTCTGACATTCTACATGCGCCAAACGTTTTGAGTAGGATAGGTGATCGAAATATTTCTTATAAGCTTCCATTTTATATGGAAGTACAGATGGGTGTTGAAAATACTCCGGAAAGTATTGTCGTTTTTATTTAAATATTGCGTATTTATTTAAAAAATTTATTCTTTGTGATATATTATAGAAAACTCATTCTGTTTATGCTGATGAGGAAACGAAAACAAAAGTAAAAACGAAACTACATATTGCACCGATCAACGCTAATATCCATGCAATTATTGCACAGGCAGCTGCAGCACCCATTTTTCCCGGTCCCCCGGTCTTTAATGCGCTTATACCAACAGCAAAACCAACGAGCCCACAAATAAATGTTACCACTGCCAATCCTATACCTACATACGCTAATGCTTTCGGTACACTTAATGCACCACCAGCCATTAAACAAAGAGCGCTAATAATCGATATTAGACACGCTACTGTTATAAGTGCACGTGCTACCTGTAGTTGTATACATTTGGGTTGGGAAGCTGCTGCTTTTGGACAGGTATTTGAAATACACAGATTCAGTCCACAACTTTTCCATAAACCAGCTCTTCCAAGTGTGACTCCGCCTGATGTTGCTTTTACCCATGATGGATCAGCGTTAGCAACAATAAATAGAATACCGGACACTAATAATAAGCCTCCAGCGATGAATGCTTTTAGATTTACCATGTTTGACCTTCAACGTGTTTAACGTATACTTTCAACCAAATATTTTTTCTATTTTAGAATAGATTTTACACACCTTACTCTCCTACTTTCTTCTTTTTTTTTATTCGCATTTAAGATTAGATACACAACCGTGTAACAAACTTTTTATTCAAGTAGCCCTGTAAAATTTCGACCTTCGCACTTAAGATCAGATAAGCTGTGTCAAAAATCTATTTTAATAAAGAAAAATCTTTTGTTTTAAAGTAGACTCTCACACACGTTGTTACACGAGTAACAGTTCCTTAGCTTTATCTTAGTTTACCTATTCTTAATTGCAAATAAAAAACTAGAAGAAAGTATAAAATGTGAAGGTTAGTTGTTTGTTTTTTTGCTGTTTTGCAAAAAAAAATTACAGTACAGTAGGTAAGTGGGCATTAAATGACCGAATTGTACTTTTAGCTATGGGAGTATTCACTTTTATGTGGAAATATTTATTTAAAAAGCTTAACTTGTACAGCTTTCGAATCAGTAATGATTCATTATCAGTACAGCAAATTTTTATAGTTAACAAATTAACAAGTAAATGGTTATAAAAATGCGCCGATGGGAAAGTAAAAGTTTAGGCATAAACCATGTGGATTATGGTAGTATCAGAGAAGAAGTTAAAATCAAATTATAAATTTATGGCGTTGGTATATTCATTTAATTTTATGTACAGATGTACGGTTTTTCGTTATTCTGTTCATCACGGAAAACGTGCCCAGTGTTCTAATAGTGTAGTACCAAAATCATACACAAAATACAAAAAAAAAAGTACAAAAAAGCAGCTGTCAGTTCTTTAATAAACAAATTCAAGTTATGTAATGTTACAGGGGAAATTTGATTATATACGGAAAATGTCAATTCAAAATGATTATCCAATTAAATTTATTGATAGAATAATCGGTAATCAAATGATTAAATTATATCAATAGGACAACAACAGAACAGATCAATTAAATAAAACAAAGAAGATGCAATATGTTGAAATTCTCTACATTGATAAAACAAGTATTGAACTATTATCGGATTAAAAAGGAAAGAGGAGTCAGCAGAAAGGCTATAACTCAGCGAAGAAGATAGTTAGGGGGCTGCGATTTGCGCCATTCGAAAGAGGACTGCATCGACCCTAGTCAGAAACCTATACATTTCTGGACAGGATCCTGCAGAAATCCGGCCAGGATCCTGCCGGGATTTAGCTGGCTTTTTGGTAGGATCCTAGGAAAATCTTACAGAATCCTAAAGAAATCAGGTATACCGAAAAATTGTAGGATTTGCCAGGATTCTTTTAGGATCCTAGCAGTTGATGTCAAATCTAAATAGGTTACATGTTTAGATTTTTTCCAGTATTCCAATGTTTTTCATACTGATATAAGAATATTTACTATGTATGGTATGTGTCTCTTGCGGAGCAGAGAATCTGACCGT